TAAAGGAAAAGAAAGGGGGATTATTAAAAAGTAGACATAAACTAACTTCAGCACCACATTGCTTTTAAAGGAAAAGAAAGGGGGATTATTAAAAATCTAGCTATAAAGGCACCTAATTTACTTTGGGTGGTCCGAGAGTAAAATCTAAATTCAAAACAATCCCTGGATTGCAGTCTTTTGCCTCAGTTGCAAACAAAACCATTGTAGGCGCCCGATTTCCTTCACAGGCCACCACAGGTGGTGCGAGAGTCAGTTCTAAGTTCAGACGAAATTCTTCTGCACTGGTTTGATTAAGAATTGGGTTCAAATTGGCTGTTTTAGGATAATCATGGTGGGTTTCAAAGGCAATTTGCTGCTGCACGCCACCAGTGCTCTTGAGTTCCACTTCTTCTGGAAAAGGAAATATGGGCGCTTGCAGTCCCTTGTGCAGTGTCAACCCCAAATTCTTGTCATCTGGCTTCAAACTGAGCTCTTCCGCCTTCCGAGCAATTGGCAGAACATTTCCAAGGGCCAGTTGCGTCCTTTGTTTGATGGCTGGGATGTTTGCAGCGACCTCCACATTGAAATTACTGTTGTGAGCGGTTGGCGCAGCGATTGGAGTTGGCCTGGGTGGGTTGCTCCCTCTCTCGATCTCAATCCGATACCAGACTCCGGCTTCATCTTCGTCCCTGAAGATTGTGACTACATCACCAACCTCCAACTGATTTTCGTGGACAAAGGGTATCCAACACTTAGAGATTACAGGTTTTTTGTAGCCGTTTCTGCGAATGGATATGACCATAGGCCAACGTTTTGAGCCATGCCAAAAGTCTACAGACACGAAATGAGTATTGAATGGTGGGAGCAAGGGTAACTTCTTCGTTGGGATGGCAAACCTTTTGCGGCAATCAGTTTGTTTCAGTAGTTTTCTGGCGACAAGGGTTGACAGAGGCATGATGGACTTAACTAGGATTGGTGGAATTAATGAAACTGAAAACAAGCTTAACTACATCGAAACAATGTATTGAAATGGGTATGTATGTGCCTAGGGTTTATTTTCAGGAACGAAGTGGCCTCGCCCTCCATTTATAACCAAAAGTGGGGTGCAATTGTAGGAACTCGGAACATTGGCAATTAAAGAAAAAGGCTACTTTCAAAGATGTGGGTTGGTGAGGATGAAGATCGGTCGAAACAAGATGGCCAATAGAGCCGTGACATATATTTTTGGGAATAATAAAATATCTAGATTTCATTGCCCATTTAAAATAATAATAATAATAATAATAATAATAATAATAAAAGATGAAAATAATGTAGATTAATTAAATAAAAAAATATTTAGTGACGTTTTTTAACAAAATATTCATTAGTAATAATTTTTTATTTTTTTAGTAGTGGCTTTTTACTTATTACATTTGTTTGTTTTGTCATTCAATTAATGACATTTGAACTAGTTTCTTCATCAATCACTATTAATTTATCATTAAAAATTAATAAATATTATTTATTTCCATAAAACAAATATTATTTATAATAATGTTTTTAAAAAAATTTTATTAACTTTTCAATTTACACACAAATTAATTATTTTATTAGTTAAAAAAACTTTTTACCCCCCTAAAAATATTGTGGGAATGATGGAGACATGATTTTGACTTTGGCTAATATTGTAATGTGAAATTGAAAACAAGTTTCGCCGGTTTAGAATTAAGGGATTGAATTAGGTACGTGCCTATGGTTATTTTTCAGTAACAAATGTCATGTTTTGCTGGTGGTGATAATTATTCTCTCCTTTTTTTTTGTTAAATTATAAAAATAAAATAAATTTATAAATTAAAAATAGTTAAATTTAATATTGATAAATTTTTACTAAATTAAAGGATAAACAAAGAGTATGTCATTTTTCTTTTTCTTTTTTTAATGAAAAATAATAGTTCACAGGCAAGAAATGATGACCATTGAATTGTGGGAACGAGGGTAATGCCTTGCGACAGCGGTTGGCAGAGACATGATGCAAAGGGCTAAGATACGGGATTAAACTGAAAACAAGATTTATTAGTTTGAAGTCAGTGAAGGATTGAAGTGCGCATATGCCAATCTATGGGCTTATTTCCAACAGCAGAATATATTAGTTTTTTTTTTTTTGAACATCCAACAGCAGAATATATTAGTTGGAAGTTATTTATAACAATAATATAATATTAATAATATTATATAAATTTATAAATTTATAATTATAATATATTATCAATTAACTATAAATATGAAAATCTAATTATAAAATAAGATTTAGCTAGTAGTGGACGCAAGCTGGAGATTAGACAAAACTATGTGTCTATTTGATTTCTAATAATTTTTTTTATGGATACTGATTGGTATACCTTTCGATTTAATATATTATGTAATATATTTATTAAAAATTTATTATTTTAAATATATTGGCATACTAATTGGTATACCTATTCGTCGGCACATCACTGTCCCATTTTCACTGAATAGCTCGCAACTACTCATCTAACTTCGAATGTGAAATTGATTCTAGACCAGACCACTATTTTTATTCTAGAATTCAAACGCAACTGCTCTGCATCGCA